GAAGGAGATTGGTTGGTGAGGAGCTAATACATGCACCAATAAACTGGGTACGGAGAGACGACGACGACGACTTTACAGAAAACGAAAGAGAGAAATAAATAGCTGGTCAATATCAATTTGTCACTATTATTACAAGATTTCCAAACATTATAGCCTAGTGGGATATCTATAAGACTATAATATATTCACTCATTTATATGTTTTGTATAGACATCAAAATATGTTGTACGTATCTTAACTCTTTTATTTTTAAAAGTCGGTAACTTTGGATTTATTAAGTAAAATATTAATTCAACGATACATAAAACTAATTTGTGGAGTCCGTTGGTCTAATGAATAATGATTGACAAAAAAAAAAATTAATGGTCAAATTTTAGAAAATGCAAATTATTTATTATTTTTTTTTTATAAACCGTGGGAGTTCCGAACTTTTGGTTCATAATTTTCTCGGTATGAAGACAGTATTTGTATATTCCGATTTAAAGAATAACCCTCCGTACCAAAAGAGATTTGAATCCGGAGCACAATGGAACCAACCCTCTTGTGTTACCACCAATGTTCAAGAAAGTGTTAGGCGCTAAGCGGGCGGTGACCCAATGCCTAGTGCCTAGAACGCCTAATCGGAGCCTAGGCGATTTAATAGCCGGTTTAAGCGTTTTACAAAAATACATAATATATTAGATATATATAATAAAATATATAAAAAATCATAATTTATAACTAATAAAATTTTTATTGTATTTATATTCATCATTTAATAGCTAAATATATAAAATTTTACGATTTATATAAAAAAAATTATAGTATTTTATTATAATAATACCATAATATTTTAGGCGGCAAAAACGGTAATCGCCACGGTCTATAGAGGCCTAGCGCCTAAGTGCCGCCTAGGCGAACGCCTAAAACGCTTTTTAGAACACTGGTTACCACCAGGCCACCACATACCTTTGGTCTTCTTTGAGTATTGAGAATGCAAATTATTGAAAGCAAACTTTATCAAATATGTTCGTCGTGGTACAATATATATGGTGCAAGTGAAAAAATTTATGATCATGTATGATAAGGATATGATACAATTGTTTATCATGAACGTGGTAGAGATAAAAACCGTTTATCGTAAATTTTTCTGGTCTTAGTGAAGTAATTTATAAAGTCGTTCGATTCAAATGTTACAGAAAACTATGAAACTTGATCAAATTATATAAAATTATCTTTTAGCAAAAAAATTATAAAATTATCTCTCGTAATAGAGATTAAAAGTATTATTTCGATATACCGGGAAAAAAGGACCATGTTTAGAAGATTCGACCGAATTTAAATATAGTTATAAAATCCAAAAAACAAAAATTGGAAGCTAAATGAGAACCAAAACCAAATATCAAGTTGCCAAACATATAATTTTGGCCATGATCGGCGGATAGCGATAGGAAAAACAAAGAAAACGAGCGCACATGGCCTAACCTTATTAAGGTTTGACCGTTGACTTTTCTTATTTTCCTTTTCCCTGAAAATATATGGTTGACTAAGATTAGGACTAATTTGCCAAATAACCAAAAAAAAATTAATAATTAGAAAACTAACCAAAATTAATCTATGTGGCATAATCATATCCACTAGAATTAGGTTAATTGATTAAGGTTTGAATTATAACAAAACCAATAAATGGGAAACATACAACCAATTGGTAAGAAGAATTATTAACCTACAAATACTTTATTTGGTATTCCCATGTGGTAAAACATGGAGATTTAAATGTATGTAACAATGAATATGATTTATATTCGGTTTCCTTTATCTCTACTAAGCTACAAAATAAACAAATGGGCTATGCATTGCATTACATCTAAGGGTTAAATGGTTAAATAACAAAAAAAAAATATTATATATTAAAATCTAACAAAAACCACTAAATCTAATGGATGAGTTATTTGAGTTATATATATATATTTGAGTTATTTAGCCAATTACCCCTAAATCTAATAGAAGAAAAAGCCTTATCCAAAACAATATAAAAATGTTATTAATTAGCTATATATTTTAATCTGTCACAAATCATGGATGACAACAAATAAATGGTAAACATTTCCTGTAAAAGAATAATCATATTAATAGGAAGATTAATTTTAGTCTTGAGCCTGTATATTGACATGAATGAGATAACGCATCCTAATCTGTCCAAGATCGTAAACAATGTACTCGTTGTGCCATAACCATCTCTGT